TTCTGGAAATTCAGATAATTTTAGATAATTACACCTTGTATAAGTATCGTTGATTTTGATTGGTTGATAGCTGAAGTGTATGATTCATGCATTTTGTTTAATAAGATGAACAGTGTTCCATATTTTGTTATTGCTAAGGGTGTGCCTTCTTTACTCTGAGGCCTCTCCTGTATATAAGTAGTATTTGCCAAAACGTAAGAGTTTTTTTTAACATTCACTGTGACGCTTGATAATTTGTGTGCTTAATAAAATGTGTCATAAAGCGATAGAATAAGACCTGAACATGATCTTTTTGTTCACATGTCTTTGGAAGCAATATCTTGTAACATGTCTTTGGAAGCAATATCTTGTAACATGTCTTTGGAAGCAATATCTTGTAACATGTCTTTGGAAGCAATATCTTGTATTATTTATAAGTAATCTATAGTGTGCTCAGGTCAACATTGTTTGCCATATATATGACCATGAGCCAACTTCCGCCCATTCAAATCTAAATACCTCAAATTTTGCAAAAATAAATGAGGAATGTGTCCATGGGACACAGATGATGCCCCCCGCTTGCATATATATAAAGTTATAAAGGGACATATCTGAAGAATGGTAAATTGACGCTACCCAAATTTTTAATTGATCTGAGTTAAGTGGTAATAAGCATTGTGTATAAGTTTCATAACATTTGGTTAAGGCAAACTTAAGTTAGAGAATGGAAACGAAAAATTCAGTAATTTTTCTATTTGCAAAGGGGCATAACTCTAGAACGGTAAAAGAGACGCCACCAAAATTCAAACTTGATCTATATTTTGCGGTAATAAGCATTGTGTGTAAGTTTCATAACATTTGGTTGAAGCAAACTAAAGTTAGAAAATGGTAACAAAAATTCAGCAATTTTTCCATAAAGTTAGAGAACGTAAACCAACTTTGGGGCGTACTGACGGACGAAGGGACGGACGGACGGACAAGGGTAAAACTTAATGCCCCCTCCGCTACGCAGGGGCATAAAAATATTGATTTCAGAAAATTATCAATTTTTATGGTATTGTATTTTCAGTCACATAATAAGGGGAAGAAATGGCATGACCACATAAGGACCACCTAGAAGTTTCTTCACTGAATAGGTGCATGGCAAATGACAAAATTTCAAAATCATTTCTTTTAGCTATACTCCTACCTTTATTAGAAGTATTATTTAGTATTATCAATTTGGAAAAAAATACATACTGATCTATCCTGGTTCTCTCCTGCTTCCTCCACCAATAAAAACTGACTACCACCACAAAATAGAACAATAGTGCTAAAAGTGGCACTAAACACAAATCAATCCATCAATTTTCCAGAATTCAAAATTATACCAGATTCAAATAATTCCTTGTGGAATGCTACAAATCATTGAGACTAGATTTGGAAAAAATATGATATTAGCACAATGACAGTTTTGATATATATCTGGTAATTGTCTCTATACAGAAAAAAATATCTCAACAGGGGACCATGCAGTCAAAAATAATAATCTTATTTTTTCTAAAGAATTGCATAAAATAAAAAATAGATTAATTGTTATTTTTCTATTATTATCTGAGACAGTACACGTATCTACTTCAGGAAATGTTGTTGATATTCATGTCAACCAGGCATTACTCTTTAAACATTTTATTTTTCTAATTTTCTCATCAATAGTAATCCTTGTAACATACAAATTAATAAGAAAAAAACATTGGTTTATTGTTCTCCATTACAGAAGCAATAACTAAGAGTAAAGAAAGACAAAATAAATTTTTGTGTTGAATGGAACATCACATTTTTCATTATCAAGCTTCCTATGTGTACAAAGCAAACTGACAAGCGATAATGGATCTTTAAGAATAACTGCTGTTATTAGTCAAAGAAGCCTTTAATTCATTATATGTTCAGCTTCAATTTTATTTCTTTGAGACAAAATCCCTGTTTCTTTTGTTGTTCATTTTTGACTTGATGTTTTTGGTTCTGGACATATCTTAATTTGTAGCTAATATACTGCAATTTGCTTATATTTGTACAGCTGACTAGCTGAGTCCTGAGTTTACCCCTGGTTTTGGGTGGGGTGTAATTGTTGCTCAATCTTTAGATATTTTTGTGAATTGTTTTAATGGATTTAAGTTGTTTCATTTTTTATTAAAATTCATGATGTTGTTTGCACTTCTTTTCATTCCCCTTCCATAGTATTGTCTTCCTTTCTTTTCATTGTTTTGTCAATTTTGTCAATATAATAATTTTCCTCCTTAAAAAAACAGATGAAGTTTCTAGTTTGTAAAATCATTTAAATTCCCCCCCCCCCCCCCCCCCCACCCTCCAAAAAAAATAAATGTGGATAGTGTCCACATGTGTCCACAGATGATGCCCCCGCTTGCATATCATATAGTTATAAAGGGACATAACTGAAGAACGGTAAAAGTGACGCTACCCAAATTTGAACTTGATCTAAGTTTTGTGGTGATAAGCATTGTGTGTAAATCTCATAACATTTGGTTGAGGCTAACTTAAGTAGAGAACAGAAACTAAAAATTCAGCAATTTTTCTATTTGTAAACACGCATAACTCTAGAACGGTTGTGTATAAGTTTTACAACATTTGGTTGAGACAAACTAAAAAATTCAGCAATTTTATGTTTATAAAGGGACATAACTCTAGAATGGTAAAAGTGTTGCCACCTAATTTCTTACTTAATCTGTATTATGTAGTAATAAGCATTGTGTATAAGTTTCATAACATTTGGTTGAGGCAAACTCAAGTTAGAGAACTGAAACAAAAAAATTGTACTTGATCCTTACTGAGTTTTGTGGTAATGAATATTGTGTATAGGTTTCATAATGTTTGGCTGGGGAAAACTTCAGTAACAGAATGGAAACTAAAAAATTTTGCAATCTTTCTATTTATAAAGGAGCATAACTCAATAATGGTTAAAGTGACACTACCCAAATTCAACTTGATCTGTGTTTTATCAGTGGAAGTCAAAATTAAACATTGCATTGTATAAAGCACTGATTGTAGTTGATTCAACTATAATCATGGTCAAAGGAAGATAACTCCAATTTTAAAAATATATTATATAAACTTGATATTTAGAAGAAAATAAAAATTTTGCAATTTTTCCTTTTATAAAGGGGCATAACTCTAGATCGGATAAAGTGACACCACCAAAATTCAAACTTGATCTGTGTTTTGTGGTAATAAGCATTGTGTATAAGTTTCATAACATTTGGTTGAGGCAAACTTAAGTTAGAGAACGGAAACTAAAAATTTTGCAATATTTCCTTTTATAAAGGGGCATAACTCTAGATCGGTTAAAGTGACGCCACCAAAATTCAAACTTGATCTGTGTTTTGTGGTAGTAAGCATTGTGTATAAGTTTCATAACATTTGGTTGAGGCAAACTGAAGTTAGAGAATGGAAACCAATTTCGGGACGTACGTACGTACGTACAGACGGACAAGGGTAAAACTTAATGCCCCCTCCGTTACGGCGGGGGCATAAAAACAACAACAAAAAAAAACACATTATGCCCCACTCGCACTATCATTTTCTATGTTCAGTGGACCGTGAAATTGGGGTCTAAACTCTAATTTGGCATTAAAATTAGAATGATCATATCATAGGGAACATGTGTACTAAGTTTCAAGTTGATTGGACTTCAACTTCATCAAAAACTACCTTGATCAAAAGCTTTTAACCTGAAGCGGGACAGACGGACGGACGGACGGACGGATGAATGAACATACGCATAGACCAGAAAACATAATGCCCCTACTACTATTGTAGGTGGGGCATAAAAACAAACAATAAAAATATTGTATCCTTATTAATTCCTATTAATAAAATACATCAGTACTTTAGTACTATAATGCTTAAATTATTTAAACTAAGATCACAAGTTGTACATTAAGTAGAAGGATTGCTTCACAGCTGGAATTACTATAGTGGTTAAGTTCGCTTTTTATTCTGGCTGGTTTATAAAGAGATAAAGCCATAAATAGCTACATCTGTCGAAATTTAGAATGAAAAGACAATTAAGTAATCAAACTATTATTGCAGTCAATATATATAGATTCAGGAATGTTTGTTTACTATAAAGTTTTACGTTTCAGAACAGACATCTAGCTTTTATTTTGTAAATAACTATTTTTGTACTTTGTTAAAAAAAAAACCAGCCAGTTCATGCATGCTCTCACAGGGTTTTAATGTTTTGTAATGCTTTTATCTGTGCATATGATCATACAAAATATGCTTTAGTTTATGCATTTTACACATTTAAAACACATACAAAAAGTAGCAGTTAATTCTTAATAACAACAATTAAGTGAAATATAAAAATAAACCTCAAAAGAAAAAAAATCCCTCTCATGTGGCAAATTAATAAACATCATTAAATTCAAAAGTGAAAGTGAAAGTAACAAATCATCAGTATGAAAGTATTTCAGGATTACATAATTTACTCTAACACTTTAATTCTATAATTTGATTGACATAATATCAATTGAAGATTAGACATTGAGGAATTATCTAAACAAGATTCATTTAACAGCAGGTATTTATATGAAAATGATTTAAGCCAGTAAAATTCTCTGAGAATTTTAAGTATTTGAGTAAATTCTCTAATCCATAAATTCTTTCATTCTAATGTCTGTTACTTTCATTTATGCAAAAAATTTCCATTTTTTTTTTCTAATTTTACTCTTTGTTGTCAGACTGAGTTTAATAATTGCTTTTAATTAACATTATCTATTTGCTGTACACTGCAACATGATACTCTAATTTTTTTATAAGAGTTGTCTCCCATTTTTATTAATTTCTCAGTGCATTCTGTATAAAACATCTCTTAATTATATAGTGCTATAATACAAAACAGAATAAGATTTTTCAATATTTTACGTTACTTGAAATTCAAAAACAATAATAAAATTACAATGTAACACCTAAATGTATAATTTTTAATGAAGATATAAAAACAATTTTTTTTATAGACTTACTGATCTCCATAGCTCCAAACTTTAGCAATCTCTAACATCCAAACAGACATGCTTCGTAGGCACATACTATATAATTATATACCCTCCATTACAACTTATTCCTGTCCCTTTTGTATGACTTCTTACCAGGACAATGTTTGTAAGTAATCTTACAGGTTATTGCTCTTTCTCATTGAAGTGCAAATAAGTTCCTCCTTCCAATGAAATCAATTGTTTATTTAAGTTGTTTTTAATAAGGTTTCTTTTAAAAATCTAATTTCGCAGGTGAATCCTTGAATGATATTTTCTCTCACGCGATTCTTTAACAAATGACAACACGTTTCAGTCAACAAATCCCTTTTAATTAACTTGATTAAATTTTCGGCTTTCTTATTGCTACAATTTTAAATAGATACATAATTCTTAAAACTGACACGCCCTTCAGTATTCATTCTATCGTGATCAATAATAAATCTGCTTTAAAGTCATCCAGCAGCTCAGATGAATTAAGTTTAAACATAAACAAAGCCATTAATGAAACATAGAAAGCTTTATCCATTGAAAGTTGTGGTTTAAGGTCAGCAAAACATCAACTTTATATACATATCTATGCTTAATAAGATTATATAATGTTGCTATGATATAATGAAACATCAATTATTAATAATATCCCGTGCATTTAGGTAAAATTCAACTTTTTTTTCACTTCCTTCTCGTAACAGTAAAATCAATAATTAATAAAGCAATCATGACAGTTAACTTCGAAACTATAATAATGAAATAATTAAAAGATTTGTCTTATGTAAACTAAAGCTCAGGTCAGTCCGTTGAAGTTTAGCCCTGTGTCTTCATGGATTCATTTGAAATAGAGAATTGTTTAAGATTAACTCCCTGACTTCCCTAAAACAGCAACATCATAGTTCAAGCTCCTTGGTACATTGTATGCAAAAATTTAACACAATAGGTTTCCAATTTATTTGAAATGGAATTGCTCCCAATCAACTAACTGACATTAAGTAAACAGGAAAATTAATTAATAATATGATCCATATATAATGTGTGTCAAATTTTAATGCAGTGTGATATGATTTGATTGAAAATGAATTGTTTCTAATCCACTAATTCAGACTTTACTATAACAGTACATCATAGTTCAAGCTTGTCAGTCCAAATGTATACCAAAGTTAATTCCAGTATGTTTCCAATTTGTTTAAAATTGAATTGATCTTAATACACTAACAGATTTGAATATGAATTGTGCTCAATCTGCCAACAGACTTTACTATAACAGTACATCATAGTTCAAGCTCATCAGTCCATTGTAAACCAAAGTTAATTCCAGTCCTGGTTTCCGATTCCTTTGAAATTGGATTGTTCTCAATCCACTACCTGATTTGAAAATGAATTGTGCTCTATCTGCCAACTGACTTAGATAACTATTACAGTACATCATAGTTGAAGCTCGTCAGTCCATTGTAAACCAAAGTTAATTCCAGTACTGGTTTCCGGTTCCTTTGAAATTGTTCTCAATCTACTACCTGATTTGAAAATGAATTGTTCTAAATCTGCCAACTGACATTACTATAACAGTACATCATAGTTCAATCTTGCCAGTCCATTGTATATACCAAAGTTAATTCCAGTAGGTTTCTGATTCGTTTGAAATTGAATTGTTCTCAATCCAATTACTTCACTTAAACAGCAACATTAGTTAAAGATTGTCGCGAGGACATTGTATGCCAAAGTTTAACCCAGTGTGTTCCGATTCGTTTGAAATTGAATTGTCCTCAATCCACTAACTGACTTTACTTAAACAGCAACATTCTCTACGATTAATTATAACGTCTAGATACTAGTGTAAAGAATTTTGTTGTCGATACTTGTAATATGTTTTACGTGTAATTACAGTCATTAGTTTGAGTGGTGTCAACCCTGTAAATCAAGTCTCACGGTGTAAACTGTATCCAATGATTTCACAATCAGAATACAAGACGTCGAAAAAATTAATGTCAAAATTGAGTTTCTGAGAGCTTTTTTCTCAGTATCTAAATTGAACAGAAAACAATTATAATAGGTCTAAAATGTGTTTTTTCTTCTTAATTGAGGAGCTTGTTCTCAAATAATGTTTAATAACACTTTAAGTGACTATAGAAAAAAATATTTACACAGGAAAAATAACAGCATGATAGAAAAATAAGTCAAATGTCTGCAAAGACACTAATAAACTTGAAAATAAATTCTGTGAACATAGATGAGCTTGCAGGTTGTTATTTCAAAATTTCAATGCATACCGGTTCATAAATGTTTTGTGAGGAATTAAATTCCAACATCAAAAATAAAAGCAGCTTTCACATCAATATTGTTGATTTGTAAATTTAATCTTTTTATGTTGGGGATATATACTTTACTTAGGCACATTTCTTTTGATAGCAAAATAAATGAAAATAACCCCTGCATGAAAATTTCCAGGTTTATATTTAAACAAATTTAATTCATGTAAATCAGATTTTAAAAACTATTTATTGAGTCTTGTGAGTGTGAATTAATAACTGAATGAATAAATATGTATATATTAATAATAATAAAATTGAGAAATTGGGGAATGTGTCAAAGAGACAACAACCTGACCAAAGAGCAGAAAACAGCCCAAGGCCACCAATGGGTCTTCAACACAGCAAGAAAATCCCACACCCGGAGGCGGGCTTCAGCTGGTCCCTAAACAATAATGTATACTAGTTCAGATTCTTTCATAATTTTCACACTGTAACTATAAACATAACCATATGATCTCCATTTTACATTTGATATAAATTAATTTCCATACAAATATTCTATTTTATAGAAAAAATCTATTCAACCTAGAATTGTATCAAAATTTTACATAACAAATTCTTTTTTAAAAGACATTACAGAGTCAAATCATCATTGGTAAATATTGTTTCAGATGAACATAAATATATACTTAACTCACAGGTTAACTGAATTAAACATTCTTCAGGTCAAAGATGACGGTTTCCTTAATCACAAATCAAAAGTGCTATACATGTGTATAACAATCACAAATCAAAAGTGCTTTACATGTGTATAACAATCACAAATCAAAAGTGCAATACATGTGCATAACAGGTACAATATGGTGAAATTGAACTTCTTCTTTTTAATAAAATAACTGTGTTAAATTGAAAAAAGTATTTTAGATTATGAAACTTTATAATCTCAGAAAGATGAAAGAGTGAAAAAATTAAATAAAGGATATACATAACCCTAAATTGTCAAATCCCTTTAAAAATCAGAAGCCAAATCCCAACATCAATTGTCACACTCTTGATTGGAAACAACCACTCTCAAAGTAAGGGAGATAATCAAATTATAAAAACTCACACTCACATGGTCATTAATAAATGATGACTTAATTATCTTAAAGAATATTATAAGACTCTTCCAAGGACACCCTTCAACAATTATTTGTTTGATGTTGCCTACCAATGCATTAAGTAGGTAGGTAGGGATTTTTTTTTTTTGCCAGTAACATAAGTTATATAATAGTACATGTTTTAGACAAGAAAACTGAGTTGTTATAAGAGCAGGAAAAAACATTATTTTTTTAAATTTGAACCGATTCCTGTCATAAAATTTTTCAGGTAGTTTACTAAGGCAACATCAAACAATCTAAATTTTATTTTTGGCCCAATATAAGGGTGCCTCTAGAGAGAATTATTTTCTACAAATATGATTTACTATAAAATGTAATTTCTATTTTAATGCTGTTTCACGTAAACTTGTTCATTAATGTTTCAAATTCTAAAATGTTATCATGCATTTGTTGATCACAAAAGGAAAAAAAACAAGAAAATTAACTGTATTTCAGAAAGTACAGAGCATACAAATAATACAATCAGAACTCATTATGTGAAGTCTTACATTTATACAATACAAATGGTGCCACAATTTTTATAATAATAACAAAATTAAGTACATATTTTACAGTACAATTGGTAGATGGATAAATGTCAATCATATCAAAACTTTACTAATAAAAAATATACAAATTTGACCTTAAATATGTGTTAGCTGAGATTAAACTTACCTTATAATGAAATATTTACTGTTAAATTTCTGCCTTACAAAAATATGGAGTAATCTTGCCACCCCTGTTAGATGCTGGTGCCACACATGAAGATTAAATATTGAAGCCATACTACTCGAATAACTGCATGTACCACAAGGCGCAAGAAATAACACCACTAACTTTAAATTTTGCTTTCTGTGTTTAGATGAGCAATTTCAAAACTTTGTTTTAACTTTATGGTCAAATAAATCTTACAGAGACAAATTCAATACTTATATATATATGTGGTACATGATGATCACGTTTTTTTTACATAAATGGTCATTGACATTTATATTTAGTGATCGTAGATAAAAGAAGTGATAATTGGAAAGTAAATACTCTGACTATCGGATACTAATTGATCTGTGAAGTTAATTAATGCATAGAATAATGACCCAGTATCTAGCAGAAAAGAAGTCGCCTACAGAATACATCTCTTAGCTGGCTAATTACAAAAACTGCAAAGGAATAAAAGGCAAATAAATATAAAGCACATATAATGCTTTGACTCCACCGGCCCACCCACATGTAACAGGTCTATGAATTTATTAAGTTTGGCCTGGCTTTATGCTAGATCAGATCTTCTTTAGGGTTATTACCCAATAAGGTTCTATGTAAAACTCTCAACTGAGCAATACTTGATGTCAGACAGAGGAGTATTAGATAAACATTTAAAATTCTAATATCTAGCAAGAATTTAATCTAATAAATTTCATTTAGATTTCAGGCTAATTTCTTCTTTTTTTTTTTTTTTAAGTTGTCATAAAATTGAGCTAAAATTTCAAACACTGTAAATTCAGAAATTATTACGTGCATTTATTATTGCGATTTTTGAAGAATTGACAAAAATGCGATTTCAGGAAAATCTGCATACAGATATACGTATTAGAAATAAGAATGTGGGTTCTTATTATTGCAATACTCTTCCAGTCGCAGTATTTGCATAAATAAAACCTTCTAAATAAATTCTGAATTTACAGTATTTGCCCATTCAAATTTTTTTCAAAATGGTTGAGAATTTAATATATTTTATAATATATAGCTTTGAAATCAAAATTGCTTTGTGGAAACCATGAGTTACGCTTAAACTGAACAAATTATTCAAATCATGCTTTGTCTTGAAAATGTATGAAATAGTTGCCACTGGACATTTTCAAAACAATCAACAGCCATCAATCAAATCACACTCTCTTTACCTCAGAAATTCTGATACATGTATCAGAATAACTTTGTTTTTTTTTATAAATCAACACTATAACAATCTAAATACAAGTTTTACTTTTTAGAAAATTTGTTAGCACATGAAATATTTTTGCTGCAACCTATTTCTCATTTGAAATTAAAAAATTTCAGATCTATCAGAATTCAACCATGTCTATCACCAAGTGTAGTGACTGTGAAC